GAGAGTGCAAAAGGAGACAGATGATAAGTGAGAGAGGCACTGTTTAGAAATTTTAATAAAAGTAAGAAAAAAATTTGGAGTGAGTTAAACAAGTTAAGAAAAGCTCTAGGAACAATGGATTTGTAGTTAAAAACAGAGTAGGGAGAGTTAGTTAGATGGGGAGATGGAGGTATTGGGAGATGGGGGGGGTTTTGCCCCCCCCCCCCCCGCCGGGGCTGATGAATCTTTGAGGAACTTTTAAATGTTGACGAAGAAAGGGGAGGCCGGTAATTCATGGCACTGGCCAGGGAGGTATACCATCTTTAGGAGTAAGAAGAGCAGTATGTAAGGTGGGGGAGGTTGCATGAGGCATTACACAGAATGAAAGGAGGTAAAGCAGCTGGAACTGATGGGATCATGACAGAATGTTAAAAAGCAGGATGGATATAGTGTGGAGTGGTGGTATTTTTATTAATAAATGTATGAAAAGAGGGGAAGGTACCTAGGGATTGCGGAGAGCATGTATGTCCCTTTATATAAAGGGAAGGGGACAAGAGTGATTGTAAAAATTATAGAGGAATTAGTTTACTGAGTATACCAGGAAAAATGTACTGTAGGGTTGTTATTGAAAGAATTAGAGGTAAGACAGAATGTAGGATTGCGGATGAGCAAGGTGGTTTTAGAGTGGGTAGGGGACGTATAGATCAGGTGTTTATATTGAAGCATATATGTGAACAGTATTTAGATAAAGGTAGGGAAGTTTTTATTGCATTTATGAATTTAGAAAAGGCATATGATAGAGTGGATAGGGAAGCATTTGGATAGGGGAGTAATGTGGCAGATGTTGCAAGTACGTATATGGAATAGGTGGTAAGTTACTAAATGCTGTAAAGAGTTTTTACGAGGGCAGTGAAGTAAATGCTAGGGTGTTCGGGAGAGCGGTGGGATTAAATTATTTGGAATCAAATACAAAATGGGAATTGACACAGTTACTTTTTGCTGACGATACAGTGCTTATGGGAGATACTAAAGAAAAATTGCAGAGGTTAGTGGACGAATTTGGGAGTGTGTGTAAAGGTAGAAAGTTGAAAGTGAACATAGAAAAGAATAAGGTGATGAGGGTATAAATGATTTAGATAAAGAGAAATTGGATATCAAATTGGGGAAGAGTATGGAAGAAGTGAATGTTTTCAGATATTTAGGAGTTGACGTATCAGCAGATAGATTTATGAAGGATGAGGTTAATCACAGAACTGATGAGGAAAAAAGGTGAGTGGTGCATTAAGGTATATGTCGAGACAAAGAACATTATCTATGGAAGCAAAGAAGGGAATGTATGAAAGTATAGTGGTACCAACACTCTTATATGGATGTGAAGCTTGGATTGTAAATGCTGCAGCAAGAAGGCAGTTAGAGGCAGTGGACATGTCCTGTCTAAGGGCAATGTGTGGTGTAATTATTATGCAGAAAATTTGGAGTGTGGAAATTAGGAGAAGGTGTGGGGTTAATAAAAGTATTAGTCAGAGGGCTGAAGAGGGTTTGTTGAGGTGGTTTGGTCATTTAGAGAGAATGGATCAAAGTAGAATGACATGGAGAGCGTATAAATCTGTAGGGGAAGGAAGGGAGGGTAGGGGTCGTCTTCGAAAGGGTTGGAGGGAGGGGGTAAAGGAGGTTTTGTGGGCGAGGGGCTTGGACTTCCAGCAAGCATGCCTGAGCATGATAGGACTGATTAGAGATGAATGGTATTTGGGACCTGACGAGCTGTTGGAGTGTGAGCAGGGTAATATTTAGTGAAGGGATTCAGGGAAACCGGTTATTTTATATAGCCGGACTTGAGTCCTGAAAATGGGAAGTACAATGCCTGCACTTTAAAGGAGAGGTTTGGGATATTGGCAGTTTGGAGGGATATGTTGTGTATCTTTATACGTATATACTTCTAAACTGTTGTATTCTGAGCACCTCTGCAAAAACAGTGATTATGTGTGAGTAAGGCGAAAGTGTTGAATGATGATGAAAGTATTTTCTTTTTGGGGATTTTTTCTTTCTCTTTGGGTCACCCTGCCTCGGTGGGAGATGGCCAACTTGTTAAAAAAAAAAAAATAATAATAATTCATAAGGCTGAGGAGGGGTTGTTGATGTAGTTTGAATATTTAGAGAGGATGGAACAAACTAGGATGACTTGGAGGGTGATGAATCTGGGTGGAGGAAAGGAGTAGGGGTTGTCCCAGAAGGAACTGGAGGGAAGAGGTAAAACATGTTTTGAATGTTGGGGGCTTGGAATTCTAACAGGCTTGTCTGAGTACAAGAGACAGGAATGAGCGATGGCAAGTGGTTTTTATGACATGACATGCTGTTAGTGTGTAAGCAAAGACAAATTTATGAAGGTTGGCTAGACTTAGGTACTGGAGGTGGTAAGCAGAGTGCCTGCACTCTTAACCTCTTTTGCCGTCTGTCACATAAAACTATGTCAATGAGGCCAGGGTCCCTGAAGTAGATCTACATCATGAGTTCAGTTCACTCAGATTAGGTGTAAGCAGTAAATTTTGGGCTAGATATGAGAGAATGAGTATGTGCAGTGAATGTGCACCATATAAAAAAAATTCTGCCCCACTTGGTGCATGATGGGAAAAACAACACTGTACCGTATGGTTGAAAAAAGTGATTTGTGGTGTCTTCTCAAATGGTTTTATGTTTTATTGGCTGTTTCTTGGTATCATTTGATAACTGAAAGACATATTACTGAAACAGAGATGATTTCAAAGTGAATTTGTGGTGTCTTCTCAAATGGTTTTATGTTTTATTGGCTGTTTCTTGGTATCATTTGATAACTGAAAGACATATTACTGAAACAGAGATGATTTCAATTGATTTCAAAATTGGAAAAAGGTTGAGATTGAGCTCAAAGTAGATAAAATATTTTATTTTTGCCTATTTTCCAGAGGGCATGCAAGGCTTCCCTGTTTTCTGGGTTTTAAATAAGTCTGATTCAATTATTAAGATGCTGTAAATCATGACCAATCTTCCTTAGGGTAAATCTATTTCTGTGTGAATATAGGAGAGACCCGGGGACATGACTAATGAACAAAGGATATGTTTTGGTACCAAGAATGTTAAGATTAAGGTTCTTTATTTCAGCATGATACAATGTTTGTACAAATGTGAATGACATTAACAGTGCATGCAGAAAGCCCCTTAATATGCAGAGCATTTCAGGCAAACTCAAGGTTATCCTAAGGTTAATAAGGCAATGACTAATTAAGTGCTTATATATTGTAGCATACACAAAATATGAACACATTCTGTATTTTGATAGCTGTGAGGATTACAGATATTGAGAATAAGAATATATCATTTTCTATATGTTTACGATAATGAGAATATGGACACATAGTTTTCTCATATATATCTAATGTTGGGACATGTTAGGGAGAGGTGTTCTTTAACGGTAGTTTTGAAGATGCTCGCAGAGTGTGGCTCTGGAGATTTCTGGCATGTAGTTCCAGATTTTGTGCCCTTTTTATATACACTGAATTTTTACAGAGTTAAGTTGGACATGGGGTAAGTCATAAGAGATTTTTGTGCCTAGTATTATGTCTATGGGTCCTGTTGCAACTATCAGAAAAAAGCCTCAGGTCAGGATTAACCCTTTCAGGGTTTCAGCCATACTAGTACGGCTTACGCACCAGGGTTTTTGACGTACTAGTACGCCTAAATTCTAGCGCCCTCAAATCTAGTGAGAGAAAGCTGGTAGGCCTACATATGAAAGAATGGGTCTATGTGGCCAGTATGTGCGGTATAAAAAATATCCTGCAGCACACAGTGCGTAATGAGAAAAAAAAACTTTGACCGTGTTTTTGGATTAAAACAGCGAATTTGTACTGTATTTTTGTATGGTATTTATTGTTGTATTCTAGTTTTCCTGGTCTCATTTTATAGAATGGAAGACATATTACAGAAATTGAGATGCTTTTGACTGATTTTACAATGAAAGGTACCTTGAAATTGAGCTCAAAGTAGCAGAAATGTTCGATTTTACCAATGTTCAAAAGTAAACAAATCATGCTATGTGTCCAATACACATCAACTGGTGAGTCTAATATTCTTTCACATGTGTGCCAATATTATTTATACCATTTCTACACTAATGCAGTAGTCTGCATAACAGTAAATCTTCTATGTTTTTGTGAGAATAAAAATTCAAAGTGGAAAGCAAAAGAATGTAAGAGGGGCATGGGGACGTGACTAATGAACAGAGGAAATGTTATTTTAGTGCCAGAAATGTCTTTCTTGTTTATTCTGGACCCTATTCGGAAACTGGCATCTTTTGAAATTTGTGTGAAATTGGTAAAATTGCTAAATTCTGACCACTGTACTGGATAGTTGAAATCGATAAATGGGTGGTTTCTTGTACTCATTCGATAGAAAAAATGGAGTTCTAGCGAAATAGTTATGATTTTTGTTGACAAGTATACTGGGATTGGCCGAAAATAGGGCTTAAAGTGAGCAAAATCGCTGATGCGTAAACATCGTGGAGACCACTAACTTCGCGAGAGCATAATTCCCTAAGCTTTCCATCAAATTTCATACTTTTGGTGTCATTATGATCGGGAAAAGATTCTCTATCTTTTCATAAGAAAAAATGTTTTTTTTTTTTTTTTAAATTTGGCCGACCCTGAGAACAAGTCTCTGAGAGGGCCTGTCGACCCTGAAAGGGTTAAGAAGGGATGGGTATGCTGAAGTTCAGAGGGCTATCTGAACTGTGATGTGATCCTGCTGGCAAGACAGCAATTGAATGAATGATGGTTAGTGTGTTTCCTCTTTTTCGAGTCACCCTACCTTAATGGGAGATGGCCAGTGTGTTAAAAAGACTCAAAGGATAGTAGAATATTTTTTTTTTTTTCAACAAGTCGGCCGTCTCCCACCGAGGCAGGGTGACCCAAAAAAGAAAGAAAATCCCCAAAAAGACAATGCTTTCATCATCATTCAACATTATTAAACTTTGGCACAAGTAAATGGCTTACCTTAACCGTCATGCCATAGAGATCAACAACGGACCATACAGGTGAAGGAACACCGGTTGCAGCAACACCCTGATCCAGACCATTGATGTAATAGTGAAGTTCTCCTCCAGTTTTAATCATCATGCCTATTCGATCTCCCTCCTGGAAATGCATAATAATGTTGCGATTCAGTGTGTCATTTGGATCGTGATGTCCGTGAACTTCTGGAAAGACAGTTAGGAAATAAGTGATGGGTTTCCCTTCTCTGGCTCATTCTGCCTTAGTGGAAAATGGCTAATGTAGGTGTTCAATTATAGAAAATTCTAAAAAAGAAAATGAAAAATATATTCTATTTGGAAAAAAGCAAATTTTAAAATTTTCGTCATTAAAATTTAGAATTTCCTCTAGAGAAAAAAAATCACATATAAAACAATAAATTAGAGACAGTATTACTGAACTTTATATTCAAAAATAAAATTCATACCTCCTTCCATCACAAGCTGAATTACTCATTCATGATAAAGTTGATACATTAGCCAAGAAAAGTATCCTGAAGGAGAATGTACAATATAACTTTGGTGAATCTGTGTCTAGCATTAGGAATAATATTAGGTTGGTAGACAGCAACCACCCAGGGAGGTACTACCGTCCTGCCAAATAGTGGAAAACGAAAGCCTGTAATTGTTTTACATGATGGTAGGACTGCTAGTACAGTGGAACCTCAAAAATCGAACTGCTCCCAACTCAAGCAGTTATGTAAGCATATTTTTATAAGTGCTTTTATAAGTGTATTTTTGAGGGTCTGAAATGGACTAATCTAATTTACATTATTCCTGATGGGAATAAATTCGTTCAGTAGCAGCACACAAACAGCCTTCTGGGCCGAAGAAAGTTCGATTTTTGAGGTTCCACTGTATCTTTTTTCTGTCTCATAAAAATGCAAGATTTCAGGTATGTCTTGCTACTTCTACTTACACTTAGGTCACACTACACACACATGTACACATTTATGTATACACACTCACATGAATTTTCTTTGATTTTATCTTAATAGTTCTTGTTCTTATTGCTTTTCCTTTTATATCCATGGGGAAGCAGAATAAGAATCTTTCCTCCCTAAGCCATGCATGTTGTAAAAATCAACTAAAATGCCAGGAACAATGGGCTAGTAACTCCTTTTCCCATAAAGTCTACTAAAAAGAAAAAGAAGAAAACTGTCAAAGTGGGATGTCTGAATGTGTGTGGATGTTGTAAGAATGATAAGAAAGAGATGACTGTGGATATTATGAAAAAGAAGCTGTATGTCCTGGCTTTAAGTGAAACAAAGCTGAAGGGGGTGGCAGAGTTTCAGTGGGGAGAAATAAATGGGATTAGGTCAGGGGTTTCAAATTGAGTTAGAGCTAAAGGAGGAGTAGCAATAATGTTGAAGGATAAGTTATTGCTGGAAAAGAGGTAATATAAATGTATTAATTCAAGGATTATGTGGAGCAGCATAAGGGTTGGACATGAAAAGTTGGTTATAGAAAGAGTTTTTATGCACCTGGAGAAGAGAGAAGTGTAAAGGAGAGAGAGAGATTTTGGGAAATGTTGAGTGAGTGCGAGGGGAGTTTTGAACCAAGTGTGAGAGTACTTGTGGTTGGGTATTTCAATGCTAAAGTAGGTAAAAATGTTGTGGATGGAGTAGTAGGTAAATTTGGGGTGCTAAGCAGTAAATGAAAATGGGGAGAGTTTAATTGAGCTGTGTGTAGAAAGAGGCTTGGTAATAAGTAATACATATTCTATGAAAAAGAGAATAAATAAATATACAAGATATGATATAGCACGTAATGAAAGTAGTTTGTTAGATTATATATTGGTGGATAAAAGGTTGATGGGAAGGCTTCAGGATGTACATGTTTACAGAGGGGCAACTGATATATCGGATCATTATTTAGTTGTAACTACAGTTAGAGTAAGAGGTAGATGGGACAAAAGGAAAATGGCAACAACAAGAGAGAGGTGAAAGTGTATAAACTAAGGGAGGAAGAAGTTTGGGTGAGATATAAGCAACTATTGGCAAAAAGGTGGGCTAGTGCAAGTATGAGTAGTGGGGGGGAGGAGCTGAAGAGGGTTGGAATAGTTTTAAAAATGCAGTATTAGAATGTGGAGCAGAGGTTTGTGGCTATAGGAGGGTGGGTGCAGGAGGAAAGAGGAGTGATTGGTGGAATGATGAATTAAAGGGTGTCATTAAAGAGAAAAAGGTAGCATATGTGAGGTTTTTACAAAGCAGAAGTGTTATAAGAAGAGCAGAGTATATGGAGAGTAAAAGAAAGGTGAAGAGAGTGCTGAGAGAGTGCAAAAGGAGAGCAGATGATAGAATGGGAGAGGCACTGTCAAGAAATTTTGATGAAAATAAGAAAAAATTTTGGAGTGAGATAAGTTAAAAAAATCCTAGGGAACAAATGGATTTGTCAGTTAAAAACAGAGTAGGGGAGTTAGTAGGTAGGGAGATGGAGGTATTGGGTAGATGGCAGGAATATTTTGAGGAACTTTTAAATGTTGATGAAGAAAGGGAGACGGAAAGTTCATGCACTAGCCAGGGAGGTATAACATCTTTTAGGATTGAAGAGCAGGATGTGAATGTGGGGGAGGTGCATGAGGCATTACATAGAATAAAAGGGGGTAAAGCAGCTGGAACTGACAGGATAATTACAGAAATGTTAAAAGCAGGGGGGGATATAGTATTGGTGTGGTTGGCATTTTTGTTTAATAAATGTATGAAAGAGGGAATGGTACCTAGTGATTGGCAGAGAGCATGTATAGCTCCTTTATATAAAGGGAAGCTGGACAAAAGAGATTGTAAAAATTATAGGGGAATAAGTTTACTGAGTTATAGGTAGTAGGTTGGTAGACAGCAACCACCCAGGGAGGTACTACCGTCCTGCCAAGTGAATGCAAAACGAAAGCCTGAAATTGTTTTACATGATGGTAGGATTGCTGGTGTCCATTTTTCTGTCTCATGAGCATGCAAGGTTTCAGGTACATCTTGCTACTCCTACTTACACTTAGGTCACACTACACATACATGTACAAGCATATATATACATACCCCTCTGGGTTTTCTTCTATTTTCTTTCTAGTTCTTGTTCTTGCTTATTTCCTCTTATCTCCATGGGGAAGTGGAACAGAATTCTTCCTCTGTAAGCCATGCGTATCATAAGAGGCAACTAAAATGCCGGGAGCAAGGGGCTAGTGACCCCTTCTCCTGTATAAATTACTAAATTTAAAAAGTGGAACTTTTGTTTTTCTTTTTGGGCCACCCTGCCTTGGTGGGATACGGCCGGTTTGTTGAAAGTAGTAGTAGTAGTAGTAGCTTACTGAGTTATAGGTACAGTGTACCCCCAGTTCACGTTATTAATCCGTTCCTGAGAGCTCATCGTAAAGCAAAATTATCGGAAAGCAAATCTATTTTCCCCATAAGAAATAATGGAAATCAAATTAATCCGTGCAAGACACCCAAAAGTATGAAAAAAAAAAATTTACCACATGAAATATAAAGTTTAATGCAATAGAATAATTACAATAATAATAATAACAATAGAATAATCACAATAGAATAACTGACACTTACCTTTAATGAAGATATGGTGATGATTGATGGGATGGGAGGAGGAGAGAGTGTCGAAGTTTTTAATGTTTAGAAGGGGAATCGCTGTTTTGTAATCACAGTTGCATCTTTTGCAAGAACAGCTTCCTTGATTGCCATTTTCCTGCTCACTATAGTAGAGATGGTTGATTGGGATTTACTATACAACACGCACTCCACTTTCATACTTTGCAATTATCTCTTTCTTCATTTCAGTAGTCATTAGCACCCTTGGTCTCGATGGGTTGGCACTAGAAGCTTTCTTGGGGCCCATGGTGACTTATTTTGCAGAAACAAGCACCAAAAACAGTGATAATATGGAATGTACCGAATGTATCTTAGATGCGCGCACACTGGCTGGCTTGTAAACACTGGCACACACGGGGCAGTTCAGGCCACACGTGGACATGTCTTGTACGAATCGTATCGCATACCGGGTTTTGTAACGGGAACCCGAGGCAAATTTTTTGCGATATAATGCTTCGGATACCAGATTTATCGGATACCGATGACTTCGCGAACAGGGGGTCCACTGTAGTAGGTTGGTACACAGCAACCACCCAGGGAGGTACAACCATCCTGCCAAGTGAGTGTAAAACGAAAGCCTGTAATTGTTTTACATGATGGTAGGATTGTTGGTGTCCATTTGTCTGTCTCATGAACATGCAAGGTTTCAGGAACATCTTGCTACTTCTACGTAAACTTAGGTCAAGACACATGTGCAACATCTGGGTATCTTTATTGTAGACGTTTCGCCATCCAGTGGCTTTATCAATACAAATTCAAGGACATAACTTGAAGACAGTAGAACTATGTACAGAAGATGAGGTAATCAGTCCCTCAACCTAGGGGTAGGTGCGAAGAGCACCATAGTCGTGGAGATTCTGAAGCAGAAGAAAAGATCCTACTACTACAACTAACCCATCTCTTTGGAAAGGACCTACTTCCACTGGGGAATCCCGCCTACCAGTGAATATGCCCTCGTCTGCTTCACCTGACGTTACTATATAAGCGCCAGGATCCTTTCTTCTGCTTCAGAATCTCCACGACTATGGTGCTCTTCGCACCTACCCCTAGGTTGAGGGACTGATTACCTCATCTTCTGTACATAGTTCTACTGTCTTCAAGTTATGTCCTTGAATTTGTATTGATAAAGCCACTGGATGGCAAAACGTCTACAATAAAGATACCCAGATGTTGCACATGTGTCTTAATCTCATCTTGTCGGTATTATATACCATTCGTACGCAAACTTAGGTCACACTACACATACGTGTACAAGCATATATATACACACACCCCTCTGGGTTTTCTTCTATTTCTTACTAGTTCCTGTTCTTGTTTATTTCCTGTTATCTCCATGGGGAAGTGGAACAGAATTCTTCCTCCGTAAGCCATGCGTGTTAGAGGTGACTAAAATTCCAGGAGCAAGGGGCTAGTAACCCCTTCTCCTGTATAAATTACCAAATTTAAAGAGAGAAACTTTTGTTTTTCTTTTTGGGCCACCCTGCCTCAGTGGGATACGGCCAGTTTGTTG